CCCAGCACGGCCAGTAAGGTGGGCGCGAGGACAGGCTAGTCGTTGGGTGGGTGGGTGACTCTCACCTTTTCTGACTTCCTCGCTCCGCATCTCCCTCCTCACCTGCCCGGTCACCTTGACCCAGCCCCTGACTCACCACCCAGCACTATTCCGCCCGCGCGCCGGGCGGTAGGTAGGTAAACACTTTCTATTTGGGACAGTTCTGTGGTTTCTGACCCTGCCTTTGGAAGCCCTGCCAGCTGCAAACGAAGGCGTTGCAGAGGTCCCGACTGTGGGCCAGGGGCCGGTTACATCACAATGGCCCGGAGCCATTGTTAAAGATTCCTGTCCCCAGCTTCTCCACGGTTCTGTCACTCTCCCGGGTGGCGATGTGTGTCCGTTTTCTTCGCGAACAGCCCAGGTGACTGACGGGCACCAGGGCTGGGAATGGCTGCAGCCTGCCCAGAGGTCCCTGAGGATGCTGGCATGCCAGCCGGGTCTGGGGGGTGCCGGGGGACAGCCAGACCTCTCCTGGGGGGGCGGCGCCAGGCAGCCTGAGGAGGAGGAAGAGGAGGAGGAGGAGGAGGAGGAGGAGGAGGAGGTCGTCACTGCCTTTCGCACGCGTGGCAGATGCCCTGGTCCCTTTTCTCTCTTCCCACCGGGAGGCGGGAGGGAGCTGGCTCCGGGCTCTGCTGGTCTGAACCACAGCCCTCCGCTGGCCCAGAGGCTCCAATCTAGAAAAGAGGGCTGTCTTGCCAGCCGGCTTCCTGGGCTGGAGGGAGCAGGTGGCCTGGGGGCTGGTCGCAGCTAAGTGGCGCTCTTCCTGGGGTGAGGAAGCTTGTCCCCCGTCCCTGCCCCAGGCTGCAGTGGTGCAGTCGGTTACCTTGGAGACCAGCTAACACTTCCCGGCGGGACGCGGGTCACCGCTGAGAAGGAACCAGGAAAGGAAGGGTCTTGCGATGACCAGGGGCCCTTCTTCCAGAAATGGAGACGTAAATGAAGAACGCAGGTGAGGGTGAGTGTCACAGGGTGACAGATGTGGCGGCAGGGGCGCTCAGCTCTGGACTGAGTGAGAAAAATTCAGGGGGCCTGGGGTCTCGAGCATCCGCTCTCCAGGTGCCGAGCGTGGGCCCCGCGGCAGACGGGTGGGCCGTGGGAGGGGGGCCGTGACACGGGTGTGGGGGTGGGGACTGCCTCTGTAGGGGCAGGGGGCGGCAAAGGGGGTTTAAGGAAAGACTTCCTGAGTCTTGTCAAACTAAAAGGGCAAAAGATGTTTCTAGAAGGATTTCTAACTTGAGGGGAATAAAACGGGGAAAACAGCAAGGTATGCGTAAATGTCGCCAGGGCCGGCAGGAGGGGGATTGAGGAGGGGGAGAGGGGAGCCAGGGACGTCCTGAAGGAACGAGGGGCCTTGCTAAGAGCGTCCCGTGTGTGGGCTCTCCAGGGGAGCGAGAGGAATCACTCTGACATTGAAAAAACCATCTGGCAGCAGGACATAAAGCGTATTGGACTGGGGGGTGCGTGGCAGTTAAAATGACAAACCCTGGGCGTGGCTTTATCCCAAACAAATGTCTAGGGGGACCCTAGATCCAGCCGTCGGCCAGCAGTGAGTGAGGCGGAGACGTCCTTCTATCCACTGCTCGGGGCTACATCTGTCCCTCTGGCCCAGGACCAGTTTGTGGGTTCTGTCCCCTCCTGTGCCCACCCCCCAGGGTCACGCAGACCCCTTCTTCTAAGCGTGACCTCCCCCGACTGTTTATTCAACAAATGTGCTTTGAGGAGCTACTACGTTCTAGGCACTGTTTTATGCAAAAAGGATCGTAGCAGTGAAGGTGACTGTTAGGGAATGGTCATGGGTCGTGCCTCTAGTGGGTTTATGGGGGGCAGAAGGGGGAAAGGCAGATGGCGAATCAGTACATATATAGGTCACGTGATGAACCGTGCTAGAGAGAGCGGCAGGGCGGATGGGCCGCTGCTGGAGATGGGGTCCTCGGAGAGGGCCCCTCGAATACGGTGTCGTTTGAGCCAAGGCCTCGGGGCAAGGGCTGTGTCCTGTTCGTCGCTGCCCCGCCAGGGCCAGCTGTCCCTGGCACCCCGTAGGCACCCTGTGAATGTTCACGGAGTGAGGCATCGCTCGGGCATCACCTGCTGGAGCGGTGAAGAGGGCGCGCGTTTCATACGGCGTCCTCCGTCCCTACAGTGCTTCCTGTCACCAGCCCCGTCACACCCTCAGCCTCACCGGATGCTCTGGACGACGCAGCGGGAGTGGGCAGTGCAGGACGGTCGCCCCGAGCCCTTCCGCGGACGAGGAAACAAAGCCCGGGCCCGGTTCTCCGGCGAAGCGCACCACGTGAGTCCGCTGCAGCCCAAACCCTCCCCCGCGGGCCCCGCCGAGGCCCCCAGAACCCAGCCCCGCGGGCCCCCGGCCGCTCTGCGTGCCGTTCCCCACACTCTGAGAAGCCAGGCGTGCGGGATGCTCCGCGCTCACGGGGCCTGCCCCGTGCAGCGGCCTTCGCCGCGGGTCGCCCAGCCGAGCGCACACTGACGTGAGGCCGGTTGTTTTTA